GGTTTATGCGCAGACTTGCAGTCCTTGTTTTCAGTTTCACTGTGTATGCTGAGACTTGTAGTCCCTGTTGTCAGTGTCACTGTGTATGCTGAGACTTGTAGTCCCTGTTGTCAGTGTCACCGTGCATGCTGAGACTTGTAGTCCCTGTTGTCAGTGTCACTGTGTATGCTGAGACTTGTAGTCCCTGTTGTCAGTTTCACCTTGCATGCTGAGACTTGTAGTTCCTGTTGTCAGTGAAAGCAGTGAAAGCAGTATATGACACCCCTGGGGTATTATACACACTGACCCCGGGGCAACATGGATGGGGGAGGGGCAGCACGTGTGTCACACCAATATCCAGCTTCCTATAGTGACAATTCTGCTTCATGTCACCGGATCGGTGTCGGTGCGCTCCATCGTTATATGTACCATACATGACCTCCCTCATGTATGTACATCAGTGTATGCTCAGGGACCTCACTTCCAGCTCCAGAGTCAGCACAGCAGCTCAGTGGGGGCTCCAAAACCAGAAAACCCCCCGGAATCCAGGAATAATTATTCCAGAAGTTATTGTTTATAGAAGAATATTATTATTATTACCCCCAAAATTATTCTATCTCCAGAATTTTATATTTTTACTCAAGGAATTATTATTAATTCCCAATTGATTATTCCAGGAGTTAGTATTATTACTCAATGAATTATAATTATTATTACTCTAGGAGTTATTGATACTCTATGAAATAATATTGATCCAGAAGTTTTTGCAAAAGAAAGTTTTTTTTAATTTTTATTATTACTATTATTACTCCAGCAATTATTATTATTACTTCACAAATTCTTACTATTACTCCAGGAATTATTATTATTACCCATGGGGCTATTATTATTAATCCGGAAGTTATTATGTTTACTGCAGGGATTATTATTACTCCTGGAAATATGATTAAGGAGCATTATTGCTTAAGGAATTATTATGAATATTACTCCAGGAGGTGTAATTATTCTTATTATTCTGGGAATTATTATTATCATTATTACTCCAGAATTTGTATTATTATTATTATTACTCTAGGAGTTATTATTATTACTCCGGGATTTTTTTATTCTCATTAATACTCCAGGGATGGTTATTAGTACGCTTGAGGTTATTACAATTATTACTCCAGAATTTTTATTATTATTATTACTCCAGGAATTATTATTAATACTCCATGGATTATTATTACTCTTGTTGCTATTATTATTATTATTGCTCCTGGGATTATTATTAGTACTCTTGAGGCTATTATTACTCCAGGATTCATTATTATTATTATTACTCCAGGGATTATTATTACTCGTGTTGTTGTTATTATTACTCAGAAACTTTACTGGATGGGCCTGGCATCCCACCCTTCCTCAGCCCACCTATCAGCAGCTTTGGCACCACTTGCGCGCCTACGTGCACGTATTTATCCAGCTCCTCTTGGGCTTTGCGAGCTCCTCGTGTCCTCTGATGATAAAGGAGACGCACGCAGAGTTATATGCAGAACATTCTTTATTACATGTCAGCAAATTGTTGAAGGGAAGCCTATCCCACCTCAACCTAACCGCTCAACCATCACATCCTCAGACAATTCATCCCACACAGCTCCCTCCTCATGTATCATTTCCCCCTCCCTTTTAGATTGTAAGCCCTCAGGGGCAGGGCCCTCCTTACCATCTTGTCTTGAATTGTATTGATGATCTGGATCTGCCACATCCAGATCATCTCCAGACCAGACCAGATTGTTTCTGGACCCAAAATGCATCCTAATGTATCCTTATGCTATTTCTGGTCTCTGTTCACACCAGCACAGTCCGTTCCAGGCCAGACCAGAGAAATACTGCAGGTCTGGTCTGGAATGCACTGGAACTGCGGGCAGGTACACACCATTTTCCGGAACAGATCTGATCCGGATAATGGTGTGAACCTGCCCTTAATCCTAGTACATGTGCAGGTCTTGACTGTGTTAACATGTGTCTGACACAAATCAGCTGCTGCACCCTCTCACAATGTTTGACTTTCTACCACGTTGCCGTCCAAGTGATCATTGGAGGAGAGGAGACTGGGGAAATGCTTCCTTTTGACTGCAGCAGACTGATGACATCACCCAGCTCACACAATGTCACTGGACCATAATTTAGGGATGGCTTTTGAGCGATATAAGGCAGAGTGTTTTAGACTGGTGCTCATGGTAGAGTCACATGGAGAAGACATATTCACACAGACTTGTAAAGTCACTGACAGGTCCACTTTGATTCAAGTCATTGTTCTTTGTGGATATGTTGGGGACACTTTCCAGTTGCTGCACATGTGCAGTTTGCTATGTACAAACGGAGTTTAGCAGAATGACGATCAGAGACGTTATCGGATGGTGAAACCCACCGGGGAAGTACAATGGAAGCAGCCATCTTGTATTTCCGGCTCTAGCTCACGGAGCCACGCTGTCTTGAAGCGTCATTTTGCTCCTGGAGCGCTCGCTGCTTCTCGATACCTCTTCACTGAACGCACTTTCCATGAGCCCGTGAATGGACCGCCTCACCCTGCTCTTCATGTCTTTCCCCATGAAGACATACAGTATGGGGTTGACACAACTGTTGAAGTAGGCAAAGGCGATGGACAGATCATCCAGACTATACAACAAGGAGCTTTGAACATAGAGCAGGATCATGCCTATTACATGGTAGGGTCCCCATGTGATAAAAAATACTGTCACAATGCCTAATATCACTTTGTTGGTTTTTTGGCTGACGTTTACAAACCTAGTGTGTTGTACCTTGGAGGCCAGGCTGAGATAGCAGGCTGAGATAATCACGAGAGGGATCAGGAAACCAAAAATCATGCGTGTAAGGGTGATTGTGAAGCCTATCCGATAAACCTCATGGTGTTGTTCTGTGTTCGTAGGTAATCCTTCATCAAACGTGTAATTGAAGTCATACTGGTAGCTACCTATGGGGTCACTGGACATAACGTCGTGTTCATAGCCACATGAAGTTTTGTTATAGTCGGTGAAGGTTTTCCTGTACAGGGCAGCTGGTAGGCACATTAAGAAGGCCATCATCCAAATCACCGCACATAAAACCCACGCCATCCGTAGGGAACGATGGTTTTGGGCCCACACGGGTCGGATAACCAGGACACAGCGGTCAATACTAATGGCCACCAGAGTGAAGACGCTGGCGAACATGTTGAGGTGGACGATGACTGGTATAACTTTGCAGAGAGCGGGACCGTACAACCAATCTCTGAAGATTAACTGAGCAATGGACATCGGGAGGAAGAGGCAGCAGATGATGTCGGCCACAGCTAGGTTCCAGAACCAGATGGTGTTCACGGTCCGTTTCATCTTCACGCTGGTGATCCAGAGCACCAGAAAATTCCCAGGGACGCCCACAAGGAAGGTGACCACCATGACCAAGATGGTGAACACTGGTGGTTCGGTAAACTCTGGTTCTTCAATGATATCCGCCATCATGAAATCCTGTAAAGACAAAGAGGACATTTTCATTCTGTTTCCTCGCGGGGAATATAGGGAGATCTTGTTTCAGACCCTTTTCAAAAAGGAAGCAAATTGATAAACAAACAGCTCCCTTGTAATTTAAAGGTCAAATCCGAGCCAATTATATATTGTCTGAATACAAAAGGCTTTTGTACTCCAAAAACTAAAGTCCCATCGAGAAATTGCTACATTCCTACATTTTGACGGCGGCCATCTTAGTAAAAGACGTCGGCAGAGAGAGGAGGGGACATTCACACGGCGGGTCCCCTCCTCTCTCCAGACACTGTTGGGCTCTCAGTCCATGACCGAGTGCCCGACTTTTTAAAGGGGGTGACACCAAAATGACTGTCAGTCATTTTGGTGTCACCCCTCCAATGGTGTCACCCGGGTGCGCGCCGCACCCCCCATGTGACGCCACTGGGCGTAACTACGAATCACGGAGTCCTGTTGCGTCACCTGCATAGGTCCCAACTGTCCTTAATTTGGAGGGACTGTCACTCTTTAGAAAACAAAGCTCTCTGCCCTTCTTTCCTTCTCCTTCCTAAACTTTAAAGAAGAACTGAAGCCAAAACTTTTAGTTTTTTTGGATAGAGTAAAAGGAGTGTTATAACTAGGGATGCACTGAAAAAATGTGTGATTTTCGTTAACTTTTAGTAATAATGGTCACCAGGACCAGCAGAGAGGGTGAATCTCCCTAACGGAGACACAGACAGCTATAAAAACCTGACAAGGCTTCAGTTACACTTTAACTTTTTTACTTTATTCAAGAACTACAAACCTCAGCAGTCTTTTAAAGTGACACTAAACTCAGGCGTTAGAGCTTAAAAATGCATTCAATTATTTTAACTACTTACAACAATGTATCTTATGTGTGTATCACTCGGCTGTAGATCCTTCAATCATCTCTGAATTGGTGCTGACACTGTCCTTCCTTCTGGAGGGGGGCTACGTCTGTTCCCCGTGGTCCCGGTGTGTGTTGTAAAGTAGTCACCGCTCCAAGCTCGCTCCCGGGATGGACTACAATCTCATGTTTAGTTTACTAATTTGTATTGAGATTGTAGTCCATCCCCAAAGACGTTTTACTGGTCTTCAAGAAAAATACAGCAAGTCCAGTTGCCTTGACTTATTTTTTACAGATATACCATGACCTGGATGAATGAGAACCTTCACAGACATGGAAGAGGAGGTCTTATTGCAATATGGTATAGGGTGCTTCCTGCCTGTGAATCTGGTGCCAGACAGGCAGCACCCTGTACCGAGTATATACACACTATATTGCCAAAAGTATTGGGACTCCGGCCTTTACACGCACATGAGCTTTAATGGCATCCCAGTCTTAGTCCGTAGGGTTCAATATTGAGTTGGACCACCCTTTGCAGCTATAACAGCTTCAACCTTCTCACAAGGGTTAGGAGTGTGTCTATGGGAATATTGGACCATTTGTGGGGTCAGGTACTGATGTTGGAGGAGAAGGCCGGGCTCGCAGTCTCCGCTCTAATTCATCCCAAAGGTGTTCTATCGAGTTGAGGTCAGGGATCTGTGCAGGCCAGTCAAGTCCCTCCACCCCAAACTAACTCATCCAAGTCTTTAAAAGTCTTGGAACAGGAAGGGGACATCCCCAAACTATTCCCACAAATTTGGGAGCATGAAATTGTCCAAAATGTCTTGGTGTGCTGATGTCTTAAGATTTCCATTCACTGGAACTAAGGGGCCAAGCCCAACCCCTGAAAAACAACCCCACACCATAATCCCCCCTCCGCCAAACTTTACACTTGGCATAATGCAGTCAGGTAAGTACCGTTCTCCTGGCAACCGCCAAACCCAGACACGTCCATCGGATTGCCAACCGTGATTGGTCACTCCAGAGAACACGTCCCCACTTCTCTAGACTGTGCGCTTCAGCATGCGCTGACCCCACTCTGTCATTTTACGTGACCTACCACTTCCTGGCTAAAACACCCGACAGCATTTTTAACCACTTCCTCACTCTGTTCATTCTGACAAAAATGTGGTTGAAGTTGGGCTGTTAAGCTGAACTAACGAGTTAACAGCGGGTACAAAGGTGTGATGAACATACTGTTTTTTTTAAAATCTGTAATGGTATGGCCACAGCATCCCTGCAAGGCAGGACGGACCTTTGATAGCATTTGAATGGCAATGTGCCAATAAATGGACTATTGTTTGATTATCCTTTGGAGTGCTGGTGACTTTATTTTCTATCTGATCTTTTCACGGTGCCATCAGTGGTCACTACAAGCACCCACCCGTCCGTACGGGTCTTTTTGATACTTCGGTAAGGAGTGCAGCGAGATCTTTTGATTTCTGGACCTTTGGTCGTGACCCCACACAAGATACGTGCTATTTGTAATGGATTTACAGTACTTAAAAGAGATGCAAGAAACCAAACATAGGGAACTTAGGTCACAAAGGGGAACAGATTCTGTCATAAAGCCAGGAAGCAAAAAATTGTTAAAGCTCTTATTTAGTCTTTCTTAGAAAGTGAATACTAGTGCATCAGGCAGTTTCACTGGAATGGGAACAGATTAGCATATAAATACAGAATGGAGGAACGAATTCGACGAAAGTGCTTACAGATTCTATAGACATGTGAAATGCACAAAAACAACCCACATTTTAAGAGAGAACTCCACTCTAAACAATGACATGCCATATGTCAATAGCTGTTAAAATGTCTACATAAGGTCCCAGTCAGACAGGCAGCAAGGTGGTGGTAAAGTCTGCAGTTTTCGCGCCTCTGACCTCCCACCTGAAAGCTAAAATAGTGGCCCCTCATGACTGTATATATGCCGTGGCAAATTTTAAACAGCACGCTGCGTTTGGCAGGGTATGCTGCTTGCCAAACACGACCATTGCAATCAATAGGATCGCACCACAACCTGGTGGGTATGCGGTATTGCAAATGAAAATCCCCATTGGGATAAAAGAAAGAGGGGAAAAAAACTGCGATACTGCCGCCTCCTGAACAGCCACTGCTTTACCGCCCTCTAATAAGCAGTCCGCCTCGGATAGCTTTTTGGAAGGTCAGTGCCAAGAAGCCAGAGCCAGGATTCTTTCACCGCGCATGCGCCTGGTGCAGCTAATAGAGTTGTATCAGGTGCAGCGTCTCTGCGTAAACGTGAGCGTTTTCCGGCGCGAGCTAACGTGTTGTTTGAGTTTTTGGCGCCCTCTGGGCTATATAAGGCTGTGACTAACAAACCTCCTTTGCTGTCAGATTTGTCAGCTTCCCTGTGTTCCTGCATCCTGTTCCTGAAGTGTTATCTGTGTTTTTTTTTATTTTTATAATCATTCTTTATTTATTTTCGACTTCAATACTGTACATACATAAATAAATACAACCATCCATCAACATTGCGTCACCAAATATAAACATACTAATACACATAAAAATATTTTAACATTCATAATATCCTACATCCACCTACTCATCCTACACCTTCTCAAAAAAAAAAAAAAACAGATTCAGTCCCCCAAAATTTTAAATTTCATGTTAATTATCTCAAGTATACAATTCCAGTGTCTAATATCAAGAGGACAATCCTCTATATAATTTGTGTTGGGGGAAAAAAAAAATGTTTTATATAAATTTCCCCGACTAATAAATTATCCGTATATATGCAGTGTACAACCTACCCCTATATATTCCCTCTATATACCCACTCATTTTGGTGCATACTCCTCCGTATGTACACATCATCTTCATTAAATACACCATGAGAAAAAAAACGTGAAAATTGTTATAATCCAACAGCCTATCTAGTGTCAACCATATGGAGAAGAACCTCCCATGTTAAATTATTGAGCCATATTCCCCCTTAGTGTCTGCAACCCCCCTCTGCCAATCCCTGCACTGGCTTCCAATAGCCCAAAGGATAAAATTCAAAATATTAACAATCAGTTACAAAGCCGTCCACAACTCTGCCCTCGGCTATATCTCAAACCTGGTCTCAAAGTATCACCCTAACTGTCGGCTCTGATCTTCCCAAGACCTCCTGCTTTCCAGCTCCCTTGTCAACTCCTCCCATGCTCGCCTCCAGGACTTCTCTAGAGTCTCTCCCATCCTCTGGAATTCTTTACCCCAACCTGTCCGTCCGTCGCCCACCTTGGCTGCCTTTAGGCAATCCCTAAAGACTCATCTCTTCAGGGAAACCTATCCCACCTCAACCTAACCGCTCGACTATAACGTTGTCAAACAATTCATCCCCATGCAGCTCCCTCCTCATGTATCACTTCCCCCTCCCTTTTAGATTGTAAGCCCTCAGGGGCAGGGCCCTCCTTACCATCTTGTCTTGAACTGTATTGTGATTGTAATGTCTGCCCTATATTGTAAAGCGCTGCGCAAACTGTTGGCGCTATATAAATCCTGTATAATAATAATAATAATTTTCTATACACCTTGTGAAGAAAAAGGAGGTAAAAAAACCTCTAACTCCAATCCCTTTAAATCTTTAATTACCTAAATAACTAGTTAATTATCTTGATGGTTCCAGTGACTCCTATAAAAATTCTTCCAAATGAGAGGTTATCTGTGGTTTTGACCCAGCTTGGCTTAACCCTTCTGCTTCTCTCCAGTGATTTGACCCTCGGCTTGTTCCAGACGATCCTCCTGCCTCATCCTCAACCATCTCTGCAACTCCTGCACATTGGATTCAGCTACTACTGGCACTCCTGCACCCATCCAGGACCAGAGAAGTGAGAGAGGCCGCCCTCGACATCTCAGACTCCCCTAAGGTACGTGACAGTCAGTGGAACCTGCCGCCCATCTGAATGAAGTCTAAGGTTGCATGTCAATACTTCTTAATTTTTAGGTTTAGAGAATAATAACATGCAAAGGGTCAGCCCCAGGCAGATTAACACTGGGATTTCCTAAAAGTCACAAACTACCCAGCCTTCCACCCTAGCTTATGGGACCACTAATTCAAACCCTTTTTGTTGACTAACATATTTTGGGTGCT